ATATTATTTGTCTTCTTTTAAATGAGTAGATGAAGATACTAAACAAAGAAATCCTTACACCAAGTTCTTCTTAATTGTCAGAACAGAATAAATGCATGAAATAAGGTTAGGCCATGAAGCATTTTTATGTTTAAATTTAAAGTATCATTTCTAAACATCTCTATTAACATAACAGATTTGAGTTGCAACTATTCTCCTAATAAAATATGAAATCTAAAAGATTATAAAGCTTTAGTAAATAATGGATCCTTTAAATATCCCTGAACTTTACTCTAAAACTTATAAGAAGAAATAATAATTGCTTTATATAAGCACTGATACCATTTTAGCAGTTGATGAAGATGTTAATTTATGGTTGGTTAGCAGTTTATGGCTGTCATTAGTTTTTCAGTTTGGCCCACATTAGAAATCTATTTTTCTTTTTTATTTTAATCTGAGACAATTATATAAAGATATGGTTATGTTTTATCTAAAATGCATCATTCTACTATAGCATTTCAAATTATTCACAGATCATAGTTCTTATATGTGCATATATGAATTTAAAAAATACAGCAATAAAATGCTTGAAACAGATCATAAATTTGCTTCATATTTTATTGCATCTCTGAATCAGGTTGAGAAGACAAGGGCAACTATGGTCTTTGGAAAAGTATTAACTCTTTCCCAAGCTGGGAAGGAGAATGATATCACATTGTTCATAATTAAGGCCAACTCCCTGCCAAAGCATCCTAGTGACATGTAATATAGGTTTGTCCATCACTAATGGGGCAGTTGGGAGCAATTTAGGTGGGGGAGGATGCAAAATCCTCTTTCTTTTTGTAACCTAACTTTCCCAGTCATTTCTCATCCACAACTCTCTAACCTGTATTTCTGTGTTGCCGAATTAGAGAATACAGGCGAAAGGAAAGAAAGCAAGCCCGCCAGGCACGCTCACTCAGGGGTACCTGGTAATTTTGAAATAGTCCAGAGGACTCCAGAATGCTGTTAAGAGGAGTAATTTAGGGGGGAAATGTAGAATTTTACCCAAATCAAGCCTTAAAGAAAGCGAACGAAGAGTTTTCTTGACTTGCTGGGAAGCGAAGAGCTCTTTGGGATTTAAAACTGGGGCGCTTTCACAGAATTCCCGGGCTTGGCGCAGCTCTGGTGTGGTCCAGCCAAGCCCCGCCACTGCACTTCATCTACCAGGTCAACAGGGTGTAGGGGACAACCCGATTCTAATGCGACTTTTCCAAAGAGTTTGAGACAGAGCCCCTGAAGTTCGCTTTTTGTCCGAAGTGCCCGGAGGTTGGATGGCATTGAGCCCGCAGGAGGGGCCCAGAACGCCAGTCCAGGGGAGGTACCGGGAGAAGGGGTGCTCTTCGGCTGCGGAACCCAGTTCCCTCCCGGGGCGCAGCGCGATCTGAGCAGCGCGTGGACGTTCGTTTGGTGGACACGTTTCTGTCTGCATCCCGGGGCCGAGTGGCAGACTGGAAAAGCCCCTCCGTTCCAGCTCCCGCAGGTCCCCAGAACAGACACTCGCCCTGGTCCTGGGGCCAAATAGATGCGCGCTGGTTCCACACAGACCACAGAAAGCAGGTTTTAGTAAACACACAGGAGATTGGGAGAACCAGAGATCTGGAAGGGAGAAAAGGGCTCTTACCTTGCTAATTGTTTTTACTCTAACTTAATTACTGCCTCCAGGTTTTCCCTTCGTGTTCTCTCCTTCCATCTACTGCGCCCTTGCAGCTCATTGGCTTGGCAAATCCAGGGGCATTTGAGTTCTAAGTGCCAGAACAGAGCAGAGCCGGGACAAACGCGAGACGGGCTTGTTCATTTCGCCCACACGACAACACAATGACAATTGATGTAAAGTTGCTTGGCATTCGGATAATTTAGTCTGACCTGCATTTAATTAAAAGAAAACTTATTTGTACTTATTTGTGTATCTGATGTCCATGTTTTGCAATTTAATTTTGTTTAGAGGCACATTTGTGTAGTTGGCCGCCTTCTTCCTCCTCCTCGCAACCCCCATCACCACCACCACGTCCAAGCCTGAATCACTTCCTCAAGGAAGGTTTTAACTAAGGACTTCCCCAGACGGGATGCATTAGCTCCTGCCTTCCATGAGCACACTTTCGGGGCTCCTCTCGCTCTTGTGGCTACGAGCCGGGAAGTGAGCTCTCATCATTATATTTCAAAGTCTGGGAAGTGTATTATCCTTTTTCCTGATGGTAATTAGTTACCATAGCATCTAATACGTAAATGTGCCCAGAGCACACCATTAACAGTTAAACGGAGGATTCAATTTAACACATGATTATATCTTTCATAAGTCATTACATTGGAAAAGTCAATGCCACTCATGCTGGAGCAATCTCAGGGTCCCGGGTGAGCAGAAGGGTTCGGTTCCGGCGTTGAAACCAAGAGTGTGTGGGCAAGGAAAGCCTGTGAGTTTCTGCCCTTTCTAGTAAGCTGACTGCTGTAAGGATGAGTGATGGATGCGATGGCTGCCATAGGAGGGAAGAATTCAAGTTAAACACAGGGTCTTGGAGGCTCTGTCTAGCGCGGGAATGTGGAGAGCAAACACAGCTACCACTGCCCCTGCTTCCCCTCCGGCACCCCTACACCCACCATCAAGGGGAGGCTGAAGGAAGGGTAAATAGGCACCCTTCAAAGATGATCATTTGCTGGTCCTGTAGGAGTCCACAAAAAGCCCCCACACTCTGGCAGTGGTCAGGGTCAAGGTGGAGCTGGAATCTAAGTAGAAATTAGAAATTAGAGAAGGAAATTGAAATTAGAGAAGGAAACCTATGAAATAAAGAGCTAATTGGATTCTGGAGCTAATTGGTTTCTTGGTTGGCCTTATCTGCCCACTCTGAGTTCCCTAAGAACACAAGTAACCCCACCCTTTTGAAGACAAGAGCTTTATGAGTGCCACATGGGGGATGGGTATCCAGTCTCTGGAGCAGTGAGCTGATGTACCCTAGCAGGAGCTGCAATCTGTCCATCCAGTCTGTCTGTCCAGGCCACTTCCACAGACCCACACTGACCCCTGTGGTGTTGAGCCATACAGTTCCATCGGTATGCTCCATATTGGAGGGACATCTGGGACCCAGGCATGTATGGGCCAACTTTCTGGAATGAGCCCAAACTCAGGACTCAAACCTCAGAACTAACGTGCCTGGGAAGGTTGCCTCATGGGGTAACAACTATCTCACCAATCAGCGATTGATTTTCTCTGTCACTCATGTTCTCTCTCTAAAAGTTGCATCGGAATAACTTTGGAAAGTCTGGAGTAAGGACAGAGAGGGCCATCTAAATAAATCACCCCAAACCTCTGTCTTGCTCCATTCAGACATACTATGTTTTTTCCAAGAACCAAATGCTGATCAATTCTTGGGCTTGGAAAGGTAAGTGATTACTCTGAAATTATGAAAATGAAAATAGTTAGCCCTGCAACTTTTTAATATCATCTGATATTTCAACTTATTTTCAACATGATCTCCTGTATCCCACCCAGCCCCATTCATTTCAAGTGTCCTTTAGGACAAAGACTACAGATTGAGCAGTTAAAGAGTGAGAGGAAAGTGAGCTTTTCTTTTTTTTTCCTGAAGTTCAAGGTTTGCATTTTGTACAATTTCTAAAATAGTTGAAGAGTACAGAGGTTGCAGAAAAAGTATTTCAAGGAGGTTTCTTAATAATGAGACATATTAAGCAGTAAATCTTGCAGCAAATGTGTCCCCTACAATGTTAATATGCAAAAAGGCAAAAAAAAATCTGATGGTGGCTGTGGTTAATTCCTAATCAGAATGATGGACAGCAGGGCCAGAACAATACAAACTAATGGCTGTGTTGCTGATCACTTTACCCCTTGATTAAAGACACCCAATTATGGCACAGAACAGTGTCGTAATTATGTTTCTTAATCACATCCAGGAGGTTTAATTGCCTTAACGATGTGTTTCATTAAATGAATTTAGGTATTATAGTCGACAGTTTTCATACACAGTTGTTTTCAAATTAACATAATATTAGACATCGTCATGGAAATTGTTTTAATAATCATAATTAGACGCACCCAGGCTTTGTCTGGTAAATGCTGAGAGACGGGTCTCCTCCTGCCTGGGGGCTGCCCTGGTCTCTTCCCTCCCTCTTCCCCCAATCCCAGACTGGGCGGGCTCTAGCTTCAAGGCCCTTTGCTATTATGTTTTCTGAAAAGTTACAGGTTCTGATTAATCTTTTTTGATGGCAAGTGGAGCAGAAAATATTCCCCCTTGCCCCCCACTAAGTTTGATGGCATTTGGGACTGAGGCTTTCCAGACAAAAATGCATCTAGCATCCTGTGGACAGAGGAAACACTGTAACTTCAACAGCACCTCGAAAACCTCTACTACAATAAAATCAAACCTTCTCTGTTTGAGATCATGATTAAGGTCCAAATACAAGCTTATACAATCTGTAATAGAGTCAATGCCTGATCACATCCAAATACAGTCTCTAAAAACCTCATTAACAAGCAACACTATTCAGTCTATAGGCATTGTTCACACTTATAATTCAACCTGGTTGATAGCTCTATCACAGAATAGTTGGAAAGTCAAAATAAAATGTATCCTCAGAGAATCTAAATTCATCTTGTCCTTGATTTTCAGACAGTTGGAGATAGAAATTTTGATACAGCTCTTTAAGAAACTTTGCCCTCTGAGGGGCCCTGGTATGGTTAACAATGCCATACAGGAAGGAAAAGAACTCCAGAGAAAGCTTGGCCTTCAAAGTTCATGCCAGCAGCAGGAACTCTGGACCTCCACTGGGTCTCACCAGTGACTCCATTTGTCTCTCCAATGACCAGGTCCTTCTGACAAGTAAACCATTGAACTAGGGCTACTCCTAACCGTGTATACCTGCCAAAATTTTAGTTCCACCTTCTCTGAAAAATCTTTCCTTTATGTTACCTTTCAATCAAAGAGTAACTCAGAAGAGAGGTGATTGCTCCTTCCACAAAGCACAGCATAATAAAATGTTTGATCAAAATATTTTAATAAAGATTCTTTCTGACATAGATACACATACAAATGGTCGTACATAGCTGTCGTAGTGTGATTGACCTATTTAATATATATATCATTCTTTACACATCCAAAACCCGCCAATAGATCCATCACAGCTCCCAACTCACCATCCAACCTGACAAACTGAATTTGTATTATCTGCAAAGAGTGGAAAATAGCAGGACTCCATTTTTTAAAAAAGGTTTTTTTTGTTTGTTTGTTTTTCATAGGATAGAAAGGCAGGCAAACAGCCATGCAAACTAAAACTGAAATTTCACTTTGGGTAAATAGCTTCTTGCTCTTCCTTAGTTTCATTCTATTCTTTTTAAATTTTAATTTTATTTTTTTAGAAAAATAACAAAGGATTTCACACCATAGACAAATCAAACCAGTCTTTTTAACTTAAATAATTCTCCACAGTTAAAATAACTTATATATACATATATTAAAAGCAATTAAATTAGACCTTTTAAAAATGCACAGCAGGGAAAAATATTTGCTTAGCATGTTCTTTCTTATAGGGCCTATTGCTGTGATGTCTATCCCTTTCAGAATGCAAAGGAGTCCCCTTTCCAAAAAGAGTTCAATTCATCCATCAATTAAGAATACACCTTTCCTGTAATTTTTGGACTGAAGCAATTTATTAAAGCTCAATTTAAATACAGGGATGATGCAACTGAAAATATCCAGATGACCTTTTATAAACCTAAGCAGCTCAGGTACATCAATATGTCTCTTCATACTTGTTGGCAAATAAACCTTTTAAACACTTGGCACACAGTATAAGTTAATTTATAAAACAGAATTTTAGAGGCATAAAAAAAAAAATTCTGCACAGAAGACCCATGACCTTAACACATGATAAATACTGTTGATGTGGAAAGCTATTGAAGAATAACAAATAAATACCATGAATTGTTAATACATCATTGCAGAGTGGAAAGTAACAAGGTGCATATAAATATTTTTTAAATGCAATTCTTTCAGCCACAGTCAGTTTTTTTTTTAATATCACTCTTGCCAAAACTTTTGAGCATTTTCACAGGATTAAAGTTCAGAGACAATAAAAAATACAAGTCTTTCATTGCAACTTGTCTCCTTGTTTTGTTTTTCCCTCACTTAAATAAGTCTACATTTCAAGTTTTCTCCTGGCTCAGAATCAAAATTTATTTTCAAGTGCCCTTTCTGATTTGTCTAAATTAATATTCCTTCCCACAAGCCACCCAATCCCGGACTCCTCCTCTCCCAGTCAGTAACTAGCCAAATTCACAATTATTAGTAGGATTAGTATTTTGCCATTTAATACTTTCCACGCTTAATAAGCAAGCGACTACTTCTCAACTTATTTTTAACCTTGAAGGAAACTGCTTCCTTTAGGTCGAGGCTGCCACAGAAGTTGCCACTTTTCTGAGAGGAAAAAAAAAAAAAAAGACGTCCATACTCCACCCCAACTTCACCTCCCTCTCCCTCCCTCCCCACTCCCAAAACCAAGATTCTGGGGATGTCAAAGCTAAAAGTCCCGTTTGTCTCTAATACTGCTCCTCTGCTTTGTTTGCTCTGCAAGTGTTTCAACAACTACAAGAGGACCCAAACAAACGGGGTGGGGGCAGCTTTTCACTTTCCTCTAGCTTTTGGGTTGGTCTTGTGTTTTTCGGGGGTGTTTTTAAGGCTTCTCCGTGCACTGTTTGCAGAGGCTGGAGGAGACGCTGTTGAACAGGGCGCACTTCTCCGGGCAGGAGGCGGCCGGAGGCAGCCCGGCGCTGAACGGGTAGCCCGCAGCCTGCTCATAGGCGCCGAGCGCGGGGTGTAGGGCAGCTGCGGCCGCCGCCGCGGCCGCCGAGCTGGGCAGCGAGGCGGCCGAGATGGCCTGGCCCTGGTTGAGGTAGGCGACAAGGCGCCTCATCTCCTCCAGGGCCTGTGCCTGCATGAGGATGTAGTTCTTGGCGAGCAGCAGCGTGGCGATCTTGGAGAGCTTCCGCACCGAGGGGCTGTGCGCGTAGGGGATCACCGCGCGCAGCTCGTCCAGCGCGTCGTTCAGGTCGTGCATCCGCCGGCGCTCGCGAGCGTTGATGTTGAGCCGCAGCGCCTTTTGCTCTTTGGATTTCTTGCTGCTGCTGCCGCCG